AACCTCTCTGCTAATCTTTGATCTCATAACTTAAACTTCCTTTCAGACATCTCATTGCCAAATATTCCCTGCCAGCCCTCAGCCTTGGATCACTGTCCAGTAGACATGTCCAGTAGATATTTTAAACTCAACACGTTCAGAACAGAATTCACTATCTTTTCCCCTAAACCCTCATGCCCTCCTATTTTCTCCATTGCTATAGAGGGCAACAACATCCTCCCAGTCCCTTAGACTCTCAACTTAGATTTCATCCTGGACTCCTCACTATTTTTCACAGCCCTTCTCCCCATATCCAAGCTGTTGCCAAGGCCTATCAATTTCATCTTCTCAACATCTCTCAAATCTTCCCCCTTCTCTCCTCTGATACTACCAGCACTCTGGTGCAGGCCTTTATCACTAGACACCTGAACTATTGCAATAGCCTGTTGGTGTGTCTGGGTCTTTTCTCTGACTGTACCACATGCCTAGAATGCTGTCACTCCTCAACTCTGCCTCCTGACTTCCCTGGCTTCCTTTAAGCCAAAAATCCCACCTTTTACAAGAAGCCTTTCCCTATTCTGGACAATTAGTCTCTATGCTGTTGAAGGAGAGAAAACTCCCCCAAATGTAAACAAAATAAAATTTCAAATTGCATTACCTTTAAGAATCATTCTTTTCCCACATCTTATAAATTTCAGTGCCCTATGAAAATATATGTCATCCTACACTAATTACAGTTCTGTCAAGGTTTGGAGCATAGTGCATTCATGATGAAGAAGTGGAAATTCCGCGGAGTATTAGGCTTTTGTAGGTATGAGGACAAGTAGATGGAAGTAAGAGGAAGGCAAATTTCAACTCAATATAAGGAAAACTTCTGAAGAAATAGAACTGTTTAAAAGTAGGATGGCCTGGGGGGTAGTGAGGTACCTACTTCTAGACATCCTTAAGCAGATGCATATGACTATTTGCTCAGGGGAGTTGTAAATAGGCGTCATGATTTTGGTTGAGGTCAGGACAGATGATTTCTAAGATCATTCCAACTCTAAGTATAGGACTCTGTGACTGCATGGTGAAAATCATGCTGGAAAAAGAATAAGAAGTGTTAATTTTTCAGAAGAGAAGATGGTAGAGATGCAGAGAGAGGATGATACTTATCTTCAAATACCTTAAAGACTAACTTGAACAATAGAAAAAAAATCACTTGTTTTCAAAGGCAAAATAAGGAACAAGGAGAGAAAATGGCAAGATAAGACAGGCAACTCTCTATGATTGTAAATAATAGAGCAGGTGCTGATCTGCACTGATTGGTAGAGGAATTTTCCTCATTGAGAGTTCCTAACACAGAAGAAATCACAGGTCGTCTGAAAAAGAAATCCAATTGAGCAGATATTTATTGAACCCCTGTCATGTGCAAGGTATTTTGTGGGATATAATGAAGAGCATGCATGGAATGGTGTCATTCTCATGGAGCTTACAGTCAAATAGATAAATAGGTGTATATATATATATATATATATATATATATATATATATATATATATATATATACACATATATAGTTATATAATATGTGTGTGAGCTTATACATTATCAGGCAATTCTAATATATATATATATACACACACACATAGATTTATATACATACATATGGATTGCTTTGTGAAGTGATGAGATTTGTTGTCACTGGAATTGTTTCAAGCAGAAGGTAGATAGATGACCATGTGACAGGGATGTTTCATAACATTTAGAGTTAAAACAGGCTTTAGCAGTTATCTAGTTCAACTGTTCAATTTTATAGGAAAAAAAAGCTGAGATTCAGAGAGGTTGTCACTTGTTCAAGGTCACACAGGTGGTAAATAACACAACAGATATTTGAACCCAAGTCCTCTGACTCTAAATCTAGTACTTTCTCCATGCACAATCTATAGGAAAATAATATGATAGGTAAAGGTTAGAGAACAGAATCTACTGAGTTTTTTAAAGACTAGATCTACCGCTCTTGCTCAGGCTGGAAGTATAGGGGCCACTTGGGAGCCCAACTCTACTGTTGTTGGCACAGGAACTTTGACCTGCTCCATTTCTGATCTAGGCCAGTTAACTCCTCATAAGGCAACTTGGTGGCCCATTTTCCCAGAGGCTTCACCATATTAATGGAAAAGTTAGTTTGGACATCTGGTTGGCCTATCTAGTGCAGTATAGAGCTCCAGAGCTCAAGAGATTCTCCAGTCTCAGATTTCCTGAGAGCTGGAATTTGCAGGTATGTACCACCTCACCAGACTGGATTGCATGTCTGAAATTATACCATGCTTTTACATAGTAAGCACTTGGTTAAAAAAAACAGTTGATTAATTAATTGATCTTAACTGCTTACTGATGCAAAAGCCCTTTTCTCTAACAGTAACACTTTCTCAGAAATGCTATATGGTATTGAATCATGGCAATCCTTACATGGTCTAGGAAGAATAAAACTTGTAGGTGACCCTAAGAACAATGGAAAAAGACATGATTAAGTCTAAGTAGAATAAAGTGTATTACTAGGGAAAACATATAAAAGAAACTATTGAGGATATGTATGGCCAGAAAAGGAAGTAAGCTGGTCACGTATAATGATAATCAATAGATGCACAGTCTTACTGTTACCTTGGCCTTTTCAGGGAATTAAAAGAAGCAGATAAAGGTCTCTAGTAGGATGGGTGGATCATCTCTAGATTTTTGGAAAGCCAAAGCACAGGAATCATACAGAATGAGAAGATGTGGACAGGTAGCCATCTACATGGATGAGATGAGAACATGTCAATCAAAATGCATATGGAACTTTCATAGTGACAAAGTTCATACTATGAATTCTTCATAGAGGATAAAAACTACATCAATTATAAGAGCTAAACTTGGTCACTATGCTAGAAGAGCTCTGAAAATTAAGAACTGTTTTATTTTTAATTAATGGCTTTATGTTTATAGATATTACTTTATATTACTAATATTATTTCATTTTTCTCATATTCATAATTGATGTTCAGATAGAAACAATCCTAAGAAAAGTCACTATCCTATTTTTCTTGTATGTTTAGTGTTTTGTTATTAATAATCCAATGGCTTCCCTCATTAAATATTTCCTATTTATCTTGTATGTAGCTTTCTAATGTAGTTGTCTTTATGTTGTCTCCTCTGTCAGATTGTAAGCTTCTTTAGGAACTATCTTTTGCCTCTTTTTGTATCACTAGCATTTGGCAAAGTGCCTGACACACAGTCAGTGCTTGATAAATGTTGATTGATTGATTGATAATACAAAAGCATTATAATCAATGTTTGTCAGATTATTATTATCTTATCCTTCTAATTTTCCCTCATGTAGCTGATAGAATGGTCCTAGGAAAAGTCCTAAGATTACACTTTTACCTTCTATGTTCTATGTATTATGGCACAGCGGATGAAATCACTGATTTTGGTAGCTGAGTAATAGTATCATGAGGTAAATCAGCTCATTTTCTATAGGCTCATTCTTGATCCAACTCTAATAAACATAGGAAAGCAAAGATCATGTTTCTCAACCTATTCCCATTTGATTTTGTTCTCATCTATTAAGTCTGTATTTTGAATGCTTTTTAATTCTGGTAGCTTGGAGATTATGAGTTTTTAGTATGGTAACGTATATTTAAATATTATTCTTAAGTGTTTATGGATCCATACTAGGTCTGGATAATTGTGGGCAACAATGAGATCTGTGATAATGATCTGGACCAGGATAGTTCATTTATTGATTGAGTTTTCCAGGATATTCTGAAGTGTATATAAGTTCATTACTGAGATTGAACTATGATTTTAGCCATCAGGTCATGTATTGCTAGGTATTCAATAGTGAATATAATTATTATTATCTTGTTCTCATCTTTCAGTGTGATTCAGTTAGAAATGATCTGGTGCTGTTGCTATTCTTTCATTACTCTTTTATAGTTGATATTTTGTAGTCTATTGCACAGATGCATAAAATAATGCTTTTTGTAGTTGAATAACAGTTTTAGGATGTAAGCTTATCTTTTGCTGGTTCATTAGAAATCACATTAATGCAATCATGGTAGCAGACAAAATGATGGTGATGTTATACACCTCATCCTAGTCCTACATGATTTTTACTTCTGCTATGTCTCTATATAATGAATACTTATTATTCCATGTTGTATGAGGATTATGAGTATTTGGTATAGTGTCATCTATTAAAGCATTGTTCTTAAGATTATATCAGTCAGTCAATAAACATTTATTAAGCACCTATTATATACCAGGCACTATGCTAAGCACTGGATATACAAAAGGAAGCAAAAGACAGTCCCTGCCCTCAAGAGTTCACAATCTAATGGGGGAGACAATAAGCAAACATGCACAGACAAACTATATATAGGATAAATAGGATAAAATTAAGAGGGAAGGCACTAGAATCATTCTTCTCATATTCATATTTGTTGGAATTCAGATAGAAACAATGCTGAGACTAGCTGCTATACTAGTTTTCTTTTATGTAAGAAATTTCTTCCTGTAAAAGATGGGATTTTAATTAGGATTTAAAGGAAGACAGGGAAGTCAGCAGGTGGAGTTGAAGAAGAAGAGCATTCCAGGAATGTGGGCCAGTCAGAGAAAATATCCAGGGCCAAGAGAAGAGTATCTTGTCTAGGGAACAGTAAGGAGGCTAGTGTCCTAGGATTTAAGATTACCTGGTGAACAGTAAGGTGTAAGAAGATTGGAAAGGTGAGAGGGGGCTAGATTATGAATGACAAAGAAAGTATTTTGTATTTGGTCCTGGAGACAATAGGGAGCCACTGGGGTTTATTGATTAGGGGAGTGTTATGGTCAGACCTACATGTTAGGAAAATCACTTTGACGGCTGAATAGAGGGTGGATTAGGGTGGGGAGACATATGTGTCAGGCAGATTCACTAGCAAGCTATTGCAATAGTCCAAGTGTGAGGTAATGAGGTCTTGCATCACAATGGTGGCAGTGTCAGAGGAGAGAAGGGGGTAGAACTGAGAGATGTTGAGAAGGCAAAATTGATGGGCATTGGCAACAGATTAGATATGGGGACAGAGTGAGAGATAGTGAGGCTTGAAGGATGACATCTAGTTTGTGAGGCTGAGGAACTGAGAAGATGGTATTGCCCTCTATAGAAATACATGAGGTAAGAGGGAGGGGAAGGTTTAGGGGGAAAGCTAATGAGTTATATGCATCAATGATATTAGGTAACAATTAGATAACAATTCAACCTATAATAATGAACTGGTTCCAGTAGTTTATGGGTTGAGTTTTCAAGGATGACAACAACAATGATAATGATTTTAGTGTCACTACGGTGTAGGAAGGCACTATGGTATCATGGAAAGGGAACTAGCCTGAGAGTTAGGAGACCTAAGTCCAAGTCTGTTTTGTTAAAAAACAGAGCAGTTCTGTGACCTTGGATATATTGCTCTCTCTGGACCTCAGTTTCTTCATCTGTGAAGAGGGAGTTAGACTAGATAATGTCTGAGGCCCCTCCAAGCTCTGACATTCCATGACTCTGTGAATCTCTATGCTGTATTTTTGCTACATATACTTTGGAAATACAACAGCCCCTAAGTAAATGCAAGCTGCTTATCACTGGTTATTTATATGAATGAAAGCATTTATACCTCAGCTCTTCCTCTCATCTTTCTGCTTCTTCCTTTGCCCTAACATATTCTGTAAATTAAGGCCATTGTTCAGTTAACCATATTTTCTTGCTTTCAAGAAAAGGAAGCTGGAGAAATTGATTCAACATCCAGCTCGCTGATTCAGCAAAAAAAAAAATAGCTCATCCTCAGGAGTTCCTTTTAAATGTTTCCCTTTAATGAGGTGACAAGTCACAGAGAGGTACAGAATGGACAGAGAGGTGAATGACTATGTAAATGAGCTCTTTTTCCCCCTCCAGCCCCAACCTCCACCCAAGATGAGAACACCTGAACTGGCAGAATTTTTCTCTCTTTCTTTTTATGATGGTATACTTAATTTTCTTGGCACATATGTGTACATGTGTGTATATGTACACATGCGCATGTAGTAGTGCCAGCTTCCCAAAATCACCAGGACTTCAAATGTTCTGTGTATTGCTCCAAAACCATATTGCATTCCAGTTATTTCAAGTTCCTCTGTCATTCACTTGGTCTTTTTTTTTTCCCCCTTCAGTGCTTTGAAAATAAGGCATCACATGAGAAGTTTTCAGGAAATGATCAGACCAAATAGGGCATTAAACAAAATGCATTATTGAAGGTTATTCTACTGCTTAGAGCATATTCACTCTCAAATGTGCTTTCTCACATAAAACTGTAAAAAATAAATAAATAAGTAAAATAAAAGGCAAACCATAAAAGGCAGTACAGAATCATTATGTTTTCCAATATCCCGAAATGCACAGGGAGAAAGTTCGGCTTTTAATATTTCAAAAACAGAACACAACCATTGCAGGGTGATTTTATAGAATGTTTTTATGTGTGTAACCCATATGCCTTAGCTACATAAAAATGTGTATTTCTATTGTAGGTCTAAGACAATTCTACATTTATCTTTTAAACTTTGATGCCAGAAACTGTCTAATTCAATTGTTGTTGTTGTTTTATATTTTAATTAACAAGAACCACAGTGAGATGCCTTTACTTTTTTGAAATGGATCTTCTTTCAGTCACTAGTTTTTCCACTTGATTCAGTGATGTGTTGGTTGGTGCCTGTGTTCCCCCCAAATACTCAAGACAGTTTCAGAGGACCTCAAACCAAAGAGGCATTCTTGAATTTTCAATTTTCTTTTCACTCACACTAAAATTTGTAAGCCTTCCTCAACACAGTCAAGTGTCCTACTTGGGCCTGGCCTTTGCCAATTGTTTGTTACAGGGGTAATGAATTTGTGTGTGTGTGTGTGTGTGTGTGTGTGTGTGGTGTGAAAGTGTTAGTGTGTGTGTCTAAACATCCAAAGCCTGAGCTTCTGTGGAATAAAAATGGCAGCCACACTCAGGAGTGCTCAGAGCATGTAGGCAGGGCTCTCACTGGGGATGATTAATTGTCATTCTGAGAAGGGTCTCAGGACATGATGATTCTTTATCGGAAATTGAATTAAAATTTGACACTTCTACAATTTTTTCTTCTTTGTAGTGAAATTTTCATTTTTCATCTGTTGGCCAAATAATTCCAAGTGCAGTCATCCTGAAATTAATCTTGAATTAATTTTTAAATCTACTGTCTTCTAATATATAATTTACCATAAGAAAACCCAGAGCAGTCAATCTTTCATTAGAGATGGGGTGAGAAAGGGTCAGCAGACACTCCTGCCGTACTAAAAATAAAGGCCCCACATCTGGTATGGGCTGATGTCTGGAATTGTAATGCAGAGACATCCACTTACTCGGCCCGCTGAAAACACAAACAGCAGAATGGCTGCATGTTGAAACATGAACCAGTGTAAAAGGAACTTCAACCCAGAAACAGACTGTTTGTATATGTAGTCAGTCTATTAGCAAATGTGCAGGCCTGGAGTCTCCAAGAACTAGAGTTTCAAGTTGATCTGTCACACGTTTAACAAGCTGTTTGTAATGCAGTCCATTTCATGTAGAAAAGGGGAGGGGGCAGGGAGGTGGAATCATTCCTTCAGGTATAGGAAGGATAGGTTATTTTATATATAGACTACACTCGGGTTTTGCACGTCTGTGCACCAGAAGGGTCTGTCCCATGGTGGGGAACAGAAGAGTTTGTTTTGAAGTAACTTTTACTCTTGAGAGAAGTCTGAAAAGAAGTTTGAGGTAGTAGAAGGGAAAGGAAGGAAAGCAACAACAATGCTTATTCTCTTTTATTCTAGAAATAGAATCTGTTGTGTCAAGAATAAGGACCCGTTCCTTGCACATTTCCACTGCTACTTCTAGGTGGAGCATACTCAACATAGAGATGGCACATAGGGTACATACAAAGAAATTTATTCAAATAAAATGATCCTAGATGTAGGAGCAGAAAGAAATTTAGAAATTTCCAAAACTAATTCCCCATATTTTTTTTCAGAGGTAGTAGGTAGTTCAATCCTATGATTTCAATGATGTAAAGAACTAAAAGGTATGTAAGCTCCCTCCACTGATGCAAGATGAGTCACTCATCTGGTAAGTGACTCATCTGAATTTTACAATTTTAGAGAATCTTCTGGGTCACTGAGGTTACGTGATTTGTGTCAAATGGTATGTATGAAAAGTGGGACTTGAAACCAAATCATCCTGATTCTAAGACAGAGGTTTCTAACCTTTTGTGTGTTATAGATCCCTTTGACAGTCTGGAGAACCTTTGGATACCTTCTCAAAGTAATGCCTAAAAATAAAATCCTATTACATAAAAAATGAAATAGGTTTACAAAGGAAATCAGTTATATTGATATATAGTTATCTAAATATTCAAACAAAATATTAAAGAAAAACTTATAGATCCCGTGTTAAGAATCTCTGTTCTATGGCTTTGCTTTTTAATGAAACCTAAACAGGGGACACTACTTCCTCACAGTCACCCAGGAAATCTGGTAATATTCTACCATTCTGAACATTCAAAGTTATGCATGGGGATGGCCACTGAATGTTTTCATTATGGCATGTCTCATGAATACCAGTTTTGTAACCTACAAGAGATATGGGATATCCATATTTCACCTGGTCTTAAACAGATTGAGTGACTGGGACAGGTTGCTACTTCAACCTGTTTCAATAATTTGGGTTCTTTTTCAATGAGATAAATTGCAACCTATATTCATGTGTTCTCACCATGTAGTACTCCATCCAACATGCTAAGGACTTTCTCCAATGATCTTCTCCTCCATTGCTCTAGGGGGGCCCTCAACTTTAATTCTTTGGCAACTTGGAGATTCATGACTTGTGGCCATACAATATCACCATGAAAGAAGGGACTAATGATGTCAAAATCACAGATTCAATTCCTATGGAGACAACTTACCTTATATCAGAGGAGGAACGTGGTTAGGTAGAAAGAGGATTAGGTTTGGAGTTAAAGAGACTGACAATCAACTGCTGACTGTCATTGCTATAGTAGTTTTGAGAACACAAACAAGGCATCATCCTCTTTAAGGCTCAGGTTTCTCATCTATAAAATGTGGCTAATAATATTCACAGTTGTTCTGTCATAAAACAATAACTAGAATGGTATTAATAGGCAGAAGAAGGAGAAGGAGAAGAAGGAGGAAGACAAGGAAAAGGAAGAGAAAAAGAAAGAGGAAGAGGAGGAAGAGAAAAAGGAAAAGAGGAGAATGTTATTATTCCTCCTTTGTTTCCAAAGACGACCAATGACACCATGGATGATGTTTTGAATTGTGCATGGATTGATTTAAGTGAGACAGAGTTGCACATAATAGTCAGCCTCCCTTTTTCTTCCAGAGTCATTGAGGCCTAGTGGCAAAACAAAAGTCAGGACAACTGGTGATGGCCCAGATGCAGTCCGACCAAGCTCTAAGGACTCCACAGTGCCTGCTTCAGCAGCCTTTCTAGCCTTGGGGACAGACAGCTCTCATCTGCCCATTCCACGAAGGGAAGTCTAACTCACCAATGGGTTTGAAGCCTTTCAGTTACCCTCAATTTGGCTTAGCCCATCTGCGGAGACACTTTATCAGGGTGTGGCCACTGCAGATGTTACAGCTTCTGGGAGACACAGGTGAGAGTTGAGTGAAGGTGGGCAAAGAAGGATGAGCAGCCCTGAAAAGTGCTTGGCAAGCTCTCACACCAGAGGTGATAGTTCTGCCTGAATACCCCACAAACCCTTGGAGGAGCAGAGGGAGAAGGAAAAAGAAAGAAGAGAAGGTAGAGGAAGAGAGGAGAAGAAGGAAGAGGAGTGAACAAGCACTTATAATGTGCCAGACACTGTGGTAAGCACTGGAAATACAAACATAAGCAAAAAGAAAGATAATCCCTGCCCTCAAGGCGCTTACATTCTATTGGAAAAAGACAAATTCATGAAAGGAACTGAAAAGCTGGGGAAGGTGAGAAAGTTTCCACACAATGAGGTTCACTGAGAAAGAAATTCAGAGAGAGGAATGAATGAGTGAACACTGGGATTTCCTTATGGAGATTCTGGGAGGAACTGACCATTCAGAAGAATGGGCAGCAGGAGAGTGACCTTAGAAGCTGAGAAGTTATCTTATTTGATCCTTACAACAACCCCATCAGGTGAGGACAGAGTTTAAGTAACTTGCCCAGGACCACACAGCTAATCAGTATCTGAAGCAGGATTCAGAATCAGGTCTCCCTGTCTCCAAGTCAAATAAAACATTTTCTTAAGTTTATTGAAACTGGAGTCATTATTAGGAAAGAAAAACTCTTCCATGGTTGTAGACAATGTCTCTTCGAGTTGGGAGGCAATGCAAAGGTAAGCTAGTCCTTCCCTCTTATTCTGAAAATGGGGAAACCAAGGTCCAGAGAAGTTGAACGATTTATCGGAGGTCCAAAACAAGTAAGAGTCAGAGCCAAGACTTCTAATTGCCTATCCAAAGCTCCTTCTATCACAACAGTTTCACAGCAGAAACAAAGAACTAAGTTAAAATTTGGCTTTTGTTGGGGGAATTTCTCCAATCCATGCCCATCTTCATCAGCTTCGTAACAGTAAGGCTCTCAAATACTATTACTACAAGCAAATAATTTGGAAATAGAAATGCAAAAAATTCTCAAACTATTTCACTCTGCTGGTAGGATTGGGTGTGTGACTGTAGTACTTCACATGCTTCCGCTGAGGGGGAAGGCGTTAGTGAGGCGGAGAAGGAGGGGGGAGGTGGTGTGTGGGAAAGCCCAATTTGTTTATCTAGACTCTTGGGCTGCTAGGAGGTTGGTTTCTGTTTATGCTTGTGTTTTCCATGAGAGCTGTTGAACAAGGGTGCCTGGCCTGTAGTTATTGGTATTTATCTCTCTGCCCATTATAGTTTTCCTCAAAAGACACATCCAAAGTCAGCATGAGATTTGGCTATATTTATATATTTTTTAAAAAGTCAAACAAGGCAAATAAACAAAAAAATAATATGACTGCCTGTGAACTGATCTATAAAAAGGATAGCCCTAGCACAAAATAATCAATCAATCAATCAATCAATAAGCATTTATTCAGTACCTACCACGTGTGCCAGGCACTGTGCTAAGTGCCAGAGTAATTCTAGTAATTCCAATCCTAAATAGCTGTTACGGTGATACAACACTTAAAAAAAGAAAATTCAAACCCCTTTCCCCCCCCCTGAAAATATTGAAGGGGTTATAGGATTTAGAGCAGGAAGAGATTTCAATCTATCCCCTTCATTTTACAGGTGAGGCTACAGAAGCCCAGAGTGACTTAGGTCACAGCAGGAGTTAGTGACAGAGCTTGAACACATTTTGAACTCTTCAACACATCTCTCTCCTGTTTTTCCACTCTATGACATAATCCTTCTTGCCTCACTACGCCTGTTCATAGGAGCATAGATCTGGAACCAGAAGAGACTTCTGATGCCATCTAGTACAATCCCCTCATTTACTGACGAGGAAACTGAGAGCACAGAAGTACCATGACTTGTCCACAGTTACATAAGCAGTGAATGGCAGAGCTAAGATTTTAAGCCAGGCTCTCTGCCTCCAAATACAGCATTCTCTCCACTATTCTGTAAGGACTCCTCTTAAAGCAGAGGTTCCCAATCTGGGGTGCATGTACCCCTGAGGGTACAGGAAGTTTGTCAAGGGGTTATGGGGAATACTTGATAAATAGATATATTATCCTATTGAAATATTCCAAAACTAGTTGAGTTAGTATAAAAAAATATATATTGTGGATTGAACTAACTGACAAATAGTTAACTTTATGATATTTCAAATGTTACATACTAAATGAAGTTTTCTCAATGAAAACTGTATTAAACTTAGGTACATATTCATTCCAGACTCTAGAATTTATTTTCTTTCATATTGAAAAGGGAATGAAGGGAAAGTTTATTGAAAGCAAAGGGGTTAATAATAATAATAATAATGATAGTAAAAACAATAATAATAGAAACAGGGACACTAAAAGTTTGGAAACCCCATGGAGCTTTTTTGTATCATGGATCCCTTGAGCATTCTGGGGAAGCCTATGGCCCCTTTCTCAGAAAAATTGCATAAAATAAAATATATAGACTACAAAGGAAAACAATTATTCTGAAATAGTTATTAATACATTTTTTAAAAAGTTAATGGGCCCCAGAGTATGAGATGCCTTTGAGAACAAGATAAAAGCTCTCTCTCTCTCTCTCTCTCTCTCTCTCTCTCTCTCTCTCTCTCTCTCTCTCTCTCTCTCTCTCTGTCGCCCTACCCTGCTGAACATAAGCATGAATATATTTTACTTTGTTTTGCTAATGGAATAGAAACAAGCCAGGTGGAATCGAGGACTGTTAAAAGGAGAGTCAGCAGGCTTTTAATTAATTTTCTTATCATCTATAGCTGCATACCAAACATGAGAGCATAAAACAGGAAGATGCACAAGCAGTGATACATAGAAAAGGCAATTGAATCGGGGGAAAATTACTCCTAAGCCAAGGCATTTGTCACGTCTCAGGTGAGTGAAGAGAATGCCTCTGTTTTCATGTATTATTTGATACTTCGATGGCTGACATTTGGGATTTGATTCTGTTGGTGGATGGATGTGGTCATAAAGAGTACTTCAGCAAATACAGCTGAAAACTACAAAGTTAACCTTGGGCTGTGGGCACAGCTAATAAAAAACAGGCTCACCAGAAAAAAAGAAAAAAAATCCACAGGAGGCACATCAGGTCCTGCCTTGATTATTTTAATGGAAGTTTTCCATTTCTCAGGTCCATCAGAAAGCTCCTCCCAGCCCTGTGCCAGGGCAAATGAATCACAGAATTATATTGTCATAGAGTAGGAAAAAGTTGGAGAGGTTATTTAATTCAACCTGTACTTGAACTGCTTCACACTATCCATGATAAATGGTCATCCAGCCTGTACTTGGAGACCTGCAATAAAAGAAACTTCCCAGGCAGTAAACTCCATTTTGCATAACTTTGATTGTTAGAACAATTTTTCCCCTTCTCATCAAGCTGAAATCTGCCTTCCTCTTACTTCTACTCATTGCTTCTATTTCTGTCCTCTAGTGTTAAACCAAGACAGATGGTTCTAGCAGTATCTTCTTTAAGCTTTATGATCAAGTCAGCTCAGGTCAGTAGGAATTTATTAAGTACCTACTCGGTACCCGTCACTATGCTATTTGGTTTAGTTGGGAGGGATTATAGAGATGATGTATTCTGAGCCCACCATTGTACAGCTCAGTAAACTGAGGTCCAGAGAAATAGGCTTATTATAGGGCTATTATGTAAGAGTCAAAATCTGAATCCACATCCAATGATTCCAAATTCTTCAGTCTTTCCAATGTATTATCTCTTTGATCTTTTGAAATTAGCTGCCATTTAATCATATTCATTACATTAATAAATAAATATTTACATTTAAAATCATTAGTAAGATATTATTGAATCACAGAAATGTTATCGAGAGGTGTCAAGGCATGCAGATAGAGCACCAGTCAAGGAGATAAGAAAGGGACAACAGAAGAATCTGGGCTCAAGTCCAGCTGCTCATATAGACTAGCCTTGTGGCCAGTGGCAAATCATGTGACCTCTCTGTGACCTGAGGTAATTAGACAATTGTAGTGTTAAGCTAAAGTTCTACCTCCTACGTGGGGCCATTCTACATCTCCCTAGTTTGAAGACTCTTCTAAAGTTATGCTGTGCATATTTTGTATGAACTTATCTGTGGACATATTGTATTCCTTCCTCTGGTAGAAAGCAAATTCCTTATTACTGTGTAATATTTCATTTTTGTCTTTGTATGTCTAGTACCTACCCCGGTGCTTGGCATATAATAAGTGATTAATAAAGGAATGTTTAATGAATCAACAAATATCAAGTGTTACTATGTGCCATCTACGGGGCTAGATTCTGGGAATACCAAATACGAAAAGAAAAAATTCTTACTCTCAAGAAGCTAAAAATTCTAATGAATGAATATGAATTAATGAACAAGTTTAAACATGGATCTGCATTGGTGGAGGGTGTTTAAACACTGAGAGGGGCCCACACCAGAGAAAATCACAGAACTAGACCAAAAATAACCAAATAAATAATCTAACCAGTAAGTATTATTATTAATCATTTGTATTAAAAATGTGATGGCTTATATTAGTAGCTTTTATTAATTATCTATAAGAAATTATATATATATATTTCAGAAAATATGAGCCCCAAATCCCTGTGATATTTGCTTTCGTGCAATTTTTTTTTCTGATTTTTCTTCTTTTCATCCATATGCCACTCTTTTTACTTTTCTTTCCTATTGCCAAGATTAAAATCGCACCCAGCCCTCACGCTAGTTAAAGGGATTAGAGGCTAAGGAAAAATCAGGTCAGAGCCAAGACTACAAACTCTGCTTCCTCTCTGTTTCCTCCTAAAACCACAGAGCTGGAAAGGCAGCCAGGACAAAGCCAATGGGGTCTCCATTCCAGCAGGCCTGCTATTATTTTCATTATGTTTCTCTATTGTCCCTATGTTGGTTTGGTAAATAAACATCAAAATGTCAGCATCCCATTAACTTGCTGTCTCCATTTGATTTATCAGAGCCATAACGAGCTGACAAGAGGATCTGAAACATTTTATTCCCTTTCACTGCTGGTTTCACAAAGTCCAGAAAGCAACTTCATCAAGTGGGGGAGACCTCAAAAGCCTGTGGTAGATCTGGCAATGGCGAGGGGATGGTTTAGATTAGATGACAGGCAGTTGCCTTTAGTGGAAAGACTGCTGGACTCACTCAGAAGATCTGTCTGGGTTCATGTCCCAGACATGGTCTGAGTATCTCTGTGTGACCTTCTGTAAATCATTTAATTTTTCTGGGTCTCTTTCCTCATCTGTAGAATGGGCATAGCAACATCTGCCTTGTTTGTTTCCCAGGATATAAATAGAGATCAAATGGATGGTAATAAGCTGGCATGTATAGAATGCTTTAATGCTTTTGGTCACACGACTCCTAAGATTAGAGGGGAGAATTAAACTTAGATCTGTCCTGACTACTAGTCAAGTTATTCATCCTTACACTATCTTAATGGGAATTTCAAGTATTGTTGCAGGCCATCAGCTGGCATATATTGGAGTATTTAATATTTAAATAGTAATATACATATATTACCTCATTTAAGCCTTATGAGTTTGCCCATTTCTACAGAATAGGAAATGAATGTTAAATGACTAGTATTAGAATTGATACTGGAACCTAGTTTTTTCCTAAACTTTCTACTTAATAATGATGATGATGATGATAATGAAAATAATAACAGCTACCACTTCTATTATGCTTTAAGTTTTGCAAAGTGAATTACAAATATCATATCATTTTATCCTTACAATTACTCTCAGAGGTAGGTGCAAATAGATTGCTGTTACACTGTATGGAGAATGGATGTGGATATGCTTCAAAAATTATATAGCATTACACAAATATAAGGTATTCTTATCAGAAGGTCCTTTCTACTTCTATATTTGTAATCTATGATTCTAAGATCCTATTGGTAATTTTTCTCCTATGAGACCTCTAATGCATTAAGCTATAAACTCCAGTCTAATGGATATATGATCTCATCAAAGTGGGCCCTCCCTCCCTTCAATGATACAGACTATGAACCATCCATGCCTGCCTATTTTATGTGACTCTCATCCATATCCTGCATAAATCTAATAGACAGGGTACACCCAACATCCTGGGGCCCTTTCTCACATTGTCTTGACATTATATGGATACCAGTAGAACACACAAGCTGCCCATCTATTGCTCATTCCACATGAATGGCCCATCTTTTTGTTTTGTTTTTCTGGTCATACACTTCTTTATATGCTTTGTACTGTTTCTCCTGTATAATTCTTTTTTTGTAAAGTGCTGCAATCTAGTTACAGTGGCCTTGTACCTTTCTGTTATCCTTTAGGTGGTACTTAGCTTCATTGGATTGGAAATTTTGGTGCTATATAGCACTATCTGGTGCCTAGGACAAATTCAGTTGGGATAGAGAAACAAAATACAGCTAACCACGACTGGATACAGCCATTCCAGGAAAACTGTGGAAGCAAGTAGGAACATGGGGAAGTAGTAGAAAAGGGGGTGTGGTCATGGGAGACAAGAGGGCTAGAGTCATTGTGGTACTTCATGGGACATAGTAGGGGCAGCAGGAAGACTTTTGTGAGGATAAGGATGCCTTAGAGCAAAGCTCTGGTTGTTTTGTCCTTGTTAGAGAGTCATCTGTGTCCTAAGCAATTCTGCTCCATGTCTTCTTGTAAATGCTCCATAGGTATTCCACTCTACATGCTGGAGAACTTTTTCTGTATCTCTTAATATTATGTAACTACCAATGGTCTATATGTTCATCCATTATGCTCCACTGTCACCACATGATTGGCTCATCTCTTTTTCTGTGATACATCTCTCTGAAGATATCCCAAGTATTTAGTGAATTGAATTGAATTTGCTCTTTATGGGCTACTACTTACTAAGGCCTACTATGTGCTTCTCCACTGCCTTTTGAATGACCAACAACTTTAATATTTCAGTGGTATTCCTTGTAGCATACAGCATCACTGGAAAATATATTGGTGTTAGAAAGATGAGACTTTCAGTGCCTGAATTTGTCTTGCTTGCCTATGCATATTAGTTACACAGATTTTGTTTACTTTCTTTCTTTCTTTTTCCCAGTTTGGGGAAGTGGTAAAGAGAGAAAATAGATTTTTGTTAACTGATAAAAAAAAATAACTAAATTAAATTTTTAACAAGACAGGCAAAAGATAAGCTGTTATAATAGAATCTTTATGCTAATTATATACCATTGTCCCTGCTAAGAAGTATTTTTTTAATTGAAGTAACAACACATACACCAAAGAAAACTACATTAGTTAGCTGAAAGTAATGCCCTAATGGGATAAATGAAAAAAAGATTAAGAAGCTTAAAGAGAGTGTTAGTTTATGTTTGCCCACTCGTGGCTCAGAAAAGAGTAAAGGATTTAGTAGTTCTGTATTGTGTTTCGGTCTACCCATGTTTCCTACTAGTTCATTGGTTAAAAACTGATTAATACTTAACTTGCAGCTTCAGTTATCAATCTAGAGCCGTAAAGGACCTGAGAAGTCATCTACAGCAATTATCTGCATTTTACAAGGAAACTGAGGCTCAAAGAGATTAAACTACTTGCCTTAAACTAGGTGAAATCTCCACACCAGTAAACATTATTATTTCCACAAAAGCATGGTGATTCTATTTTAATTTGGAAAGTACAATGGATCTGAGATCAAAAGACCAAGGTTTTAATTTTGGCTCTGACCTTGACTAGCTAATTATGTAACCTGGGGAAGTCAATTTCATTCTCTGGATCTCTCTTTCTTAGTTAATAAAATGAGTCAGTTGGCCTAAGTGATTGCTGAGGGCTCTTCTAGCTCAAATCCTTTGATTCAGAATAGGAAAATCTAGATCAGTGTAGGAAACACGTGGCCTCAAACAATTTGTTCTGTGAAGTGTGGATTCAGTCAAAGGGCCCCACTTGAGAATCTAGAGGGCCACATGTGGCCTCAAGGCCCCAGGTTCCACACCCCTGATCTAGATTCAAATCTTGATTCAACCATTTAATACCTATGTGCCCTGGGTCAAGTCATTTCTCTCTTTGAATTTTGATTCCCTTGTGGAATAGGTTGGAATAAATGCATTTTGTGCTTCCTTAAATATCGAAATTACATTATGCTCTGATGCCAGGGTCTTCAGTAAATGTCAGAAATTCAAAGCTGCCATAAATACTGCAAGTGAGTCCCTCAGTGCAGCCAAACTGCAGGGGAGCTGCCTCTCTGATCTGGAAGTGCATATGTGACCGTGGCTATAAAACCCATCAGCAAGGGCTCCTATATGCTTGTTATTCATGACCTGGCTGATTCCCAGGTTCGTTAAGAGAGTTATTTACAAAGCAATGCCTCTGAATAAGACAGTGCTAGGGAGCTCACTCAAATCTCTTCTGCAGAAAAACTTGTCTCATTCAAGGTCTAGATGTATCTTGATAGGTGTGTGTGTGTGTGTGTGTGTGTGTGTGTGTGTGTGTGTGTGTGTGAGAGAGAGAGAGAGAGAGAGAGAGAGAGAGAGAGACAGA